AACGCGTGATACTAATGAGTACTTTCCAGCTAGTGACACAAGAGTACATAAAATATTATTCTCTGTTGTTCATTGGATATCGGACAAAGACAGAATGATACTTGTATCGATTTGTGTCGACTTATGTAATTAGCTGGAAAGCACACAATGTCTCGTTGCGCCGATTTGACACTCGCATGCATGCGTGATGTGTGAGCGAGCAGCACACGTGTATTCGCGCAAGGCCAACCTACGAGATGGCTCACGATTGGTCGCACTGGCATCATACGATGGTCCCATCTCGTTATAAATACGAGCCCTAACCAAGCTCTTCCTGCTGCAACTACAACCGTGCGCACATGCGTGCATGCGTTAACATAAATGATATACATTGGCCAAACTCATTGACCAAAGCTCTGTACAGGTTGATTTTACAAGCGATATGACAAGATGACTCAATGTTTTTTAAAGCAAAAAGTTATCACCTCTAACTACATGATGTCACAAGAATTCCATTTCAGATAAAAATGGAAATTGATAAATATTTTTCAAAAGGGAATAAAACTGAAAATATGTAACATTCTCTTTCTGTGATAACTCTGTTGATGCAAAATTGGTCGCTTATTATTAAAACATTCTATTGAAAAATAACCCGTGTTTTGAATGGACGTTCATGTTCATGTTTATTCGGATCGATAAAAGAACGTCATTTACGTGAATATTTTTAATGTTTAGCTTATTTGAATATATATATAGGAATATTTGAATATTTACTTATATATCTTATATCAATGTATACATTTGTTTTTTAAATAACACGCAGATAAAACGATGCAAATAAAACGTATAAATAAGAGATTATATGAAATTGTTAGTTTCTAATTTAACAATTGTAATATAGTGATACACTTAATGGGGATCCCCATAATGTTATAATGAATCCCACGCGACTAATTATGCGAATCGAACTGAAGAGAAGTACAAAGTTGTGGAAAACATGTTAAAAATGTGTTAATTACAAGTGTTAATTACAATTGTAATTATTGCAGAGCTTGACGAGCCGATCACTAATCAGACTCTTTATTAGATGCGATTAAAATTGAAATTGCCGCGATTCGAATAATTCTGAATAATAATTCAACTCGTCTCGCTCGGTGTAGTGAATATTGGTGTGGAGTAGAATTACATACGGAACACACACATTCTCTTTTTTTCTTTTCTACTATAAGCTAAGAAGAGTACTAGCTAGAAGTGATATCTTAGCCGAAGCGAAGAAAGCAAGAGAGGCAGAACGAAACACGATCGGTAACGGAAGATAGGTTACGAAACCTTTACCAAAGATGATCATTTTGAAACAGGAAGTACTCATATTTTTATTCGCTGAGATAAATTAGATAGTCGTGGTATTTTATTTATTCTTGTTATTAATTAGAAACACTAATTAATATTAATTTTTATTAATTCCAAACAATATTTATATTTATAATTTTATGTACATTTCGAGAAAATTATGGTTGTAACATTAAGAGTTATTTAAAGAGAAACGATATTTTTTCGAGCACCGGACTATCAGCGCGTCGCTTCTCAATCGACGACTCCATAAATCGTCCGGACAAATCGCGAGATACGAGAGCAAAGCTATTTATTAATCGTCGAAGGACAGATTTATAGATTTATCACGGGCAGATGCCGCCCGTCGTCCCATTGTTGCGCTCGGTTTACGAAACGATTGCATTGCTGTATCAAACGAGAGGTGCAGGAGGGCGGTGAAGAGTCGCGGGGTCGTGGACAGTTCCGCGGGCGGCTTGTCGAATCGTTCGGTCGTTATCGTAGCAGTCGGCCATTCCGCGCACCGAGCTCTCCAATAATTTCGATAGTTTGTAATTAAATTTAATGGCACTGGTCGCCAGTGCGCCCGCAACAGCGATTTATTCGCGTAGTCTGTCGCACGCATCACCGATGCGAATTGATGTGTAAACGCGTGTGTACGCAGCGCGGTTGTTATGCGCGTGCCGCATATACATTTTTCCCTCTCGTGGGATTCGCGTGTTTCCTTTGCTCAATAAGAATGAAGAAACTCGGAGTTTTCGCACGAATCGATGAATAAAAGTGCAAAATCTTCAACCGGGTCGAATTGTCGCATTAGAATCCAAGAAACCGAAGAAAACCATTATTGCAAATTTATTTATATTTTTATTCCATTGCTCTGCGCAAAAATATTACGTATCACAAATTATTGTATTTGCATTATAGCATCGTTTACTGATTATTCAATTGAAAGAATTTAACGGATAAATCCAGTTTTTCGGGTTTACATAATTGTTGTTTTTTCCTCTAAAACTCTATCTTAATATGTAATTTTAATTACAAATTTGATGGAGAAATATGCGAATCTTCTTCAAATATGACGAAGATTGTGTTTATCGTTATGTGTTTTGGCAATCTCATCTTGGTAACGATGTAGCATCAGTAGCTACAAACATTAATTTGCAATGTTTATTCCCACGCACGCCACGTTTACAAATAGGCAACCATCACAAAGATTATTCGATATCTATTCGTGTGTGTGAACGAGTAATCTGCTTTGAGATATTGGAAGCGATGATTTCCGAAAGAATCGATTCAATAACCAGAGAGTAGCCGTGCGAGAGAAAAAGTTGGATAAAAGTTTTATAAGATTCCTTTTGTATAAAATCAATTCAAATTGCTAATTCATACGTTCTCTTTTTATACCGCTTCGTTTTCATTTCTCCCCGCTTCAAAAATTATTTTAAATGAAGGTTTCCCCCCCCCCTTCTCTCTCTCTCTCTCTTTCTCTCTTACATAAAATATTTCGATACCTCAAATATTTTATGTCGACCAAAGGAAAGTTGAACCGAGTCTTATTTTGATTTTGTATTATAATCGTGCAAATATACAACCTTACTTTCCATTAGCACTGTCATCGTATACAGAAATTTTATACTGGAGCAAACACTGTAAGCACGGAGGGAAGGGAAAGGAGGAGAAAAGTCGCGAGTGGTACACAGTACGAAATGAAGAACAGCGCGGACCTACTGCCAGTTCTCTTTTATTACCTGGAAAGTGGCACTTCCGGATAATCGATTTCGAGCGGAAGTTATAAGTTCGTTTGGCGGTGTCGAGAGAAAAGTCGATCTTGACCCCGTTTTCACCCGCTCTTACCCTTTCCTCACAATAGCTTGTTTATTACGAGGGAAGCTCTCTCGAAGGTGCTTAATAATTTCACGGAAAATGTCTCGAAATTCGCGCCGCGTCTCCTTTAAACGTCGGATACGATACTCCTTTATCCTCGCAATATTTATATACGTCGCGGAATATTTATGTCTATTACATAAGATGTAAATAGGATGCAATACTATGTTCCAGCATCTTCGGCTTTAATTCAGCGATTCTTTGATTCAAGATTCTTTGATCAATTTAGAGCCGACTTTTCTTAATTAAAATCTTGATTTTCAAGTACAACCTTTCAGAATGCAATTAGATGAACACAAATTATTTACTTGGATTGTAACATTTTTAAAAAATTTCAAATCGAGTTTACAAGATATTTAATATTAAAAGCCCATATTAGACGATTTATAATTCACGAGAATTCGAGATAGAATTCTCTATTTATCTACAGTATCTAAATATTAAAAAAGTTATAACGATATTTTTTTCTCGAATTATTTATTTTACAAATAAATGCACTCTCTCTCTTCTCTCTCTCTCTCTCTCTCTCTCTCTCTCTCTCTCTGTACAATATCTCTGTATAATATCTTGTGTTAAAGGTGAGAATTTCTTAAACGTCATATAAATGTACACGTATACATATGTGGGTACATAGCGTTCTACAAACTCTATGCATACGGCGTAATTGGTAATGAATTCCCAAGAGTTGGAAAGAGAAGTACGACGAAAAGCTCGGCTAAACTGGCAAACGATGCTCCCCCCCATTAAATCCAAATCAACTTCCTAATATGAACGAATGGTTTTTCGCCAACGGCACATGACGCCGTGATAATATCGCGCGCCATTCGTCATCATTAGCCAGGACGGCGAATGCATTTCCTGTGTTTTTTATCCTGCATCCCGAATTCGCGTGTGACCACCAGCCACCGATACTCACACGCGAGCGCGTCTTATGTGTGTGGCTGCCATCGCCCGCTACCGTAATTTCATTTTCAAAATTTAGATACAAAAGATTCAGCAACTCGGCCGCGTAATAGATGAGATAGCACGGGAATAGCAGATATCAAAGATGAAAGAAGAGGGATGGCTGATAGATTTATCAAATCCGAGTCTCGTGTAAGCGATTGAAAAATATAAGGTATCAGCGAATTAAGCTTTGGAAAAAATATATCGTTTTAACTGGAACAAAATGTGTTAAACATTTTATTTCAGATTTTTAGTTTAAATGCAATTTTGTCTGTTAATAAAGCGACGCGATTCGTACTTTTCACGTAAGATAATAAAAGCTGAATATCTCTCAGTCTCAATCTAATGATATTTTATTCTTACCTAATAGTGGAACGATTGAATTTTTTTTAGCATAAAATAATCTCAAAAATAACGGTTTTAATAGACGAGCGTGCGCGATATCTCGCGGATACGACAATTCCATCGAAACGAGAGGAGGAGAGGAGGAATATTGGGGATCCGTCGCAGTATGAAGTTCCAGGTGCAATCTGCATTGTTTCCATGTCAATTAAACTTGTTTGATATTTCCGCCGCAATCATACCGCAGCAGCGAGCGGTGGCAACGTCACCGATTCTGCGTCGCGCGCGCGCTTAATCGAATTCGAGAAACAGTGCTGCTCTTTGCGATTCCCTTACTAATAACATTGTTATCGATGAAGCCAGCGACGTATCGGGTCTTTGTTGCCTCTTACGTTCGACGAGTTGATCACGTCTCTCTCTCCTTCTCTCTCTCTCTCTCTCTCTCTCTCTCTCTCTCTCTTATTTTCACATATTCTCTCACGCTCTTCTCAGTTAACCCGATTATCGCGTTTCTGTTTTAGTGCTCGCTAGCTGCCGCGGGGAAGAGTGCGGACCCGACGAGCTGGTGAGGTGCGCCAGGCCCCTCGAGAGGATCAACTCCAACGACCTAAGTCTCGTCATGAACAAGGAGGATATCGACAAACTATGCCCGTGAGTTTTCCCTCACTCTGCTGCTTCAGGACGACCGGCGCACGGGCGATCTCTTTAAGCGGGCAAATGACCGTTGTTATTCGTCGCTTTTACATGTTCCATGAGAGGAAGAACTACACGTCAGTGCGGCTTGCCGTGACGCTCCGTTTCGCGAGGAAAGAATTTCGTAACCATCTTCTCTCCTCTCTTCACATTTCCCTCTACCTTCCTCGCGCTCGCACCACGGGAAATTTCTCTTCACCGAGCGAGAAAAATGCGCCGGTCGTTTCTCGCCCTCGCCGTACTTCGTATCAATTTCAAGACGTAGCGAGAACGTGCGCTTTACGTCGCGCAATTCTCTCCGCGGGGCTTAATCGCGCTAATTGGTGATATTCGTGGTGAAAAGAGATGGGGGGGGAGGGGGGATAAAATAAAGAAGCATTCAACCGCCATTTGGTCGGTCTTATAACCGTCATCGTGAAATATTTCACGTTTCCATTATCCACATTTAAAATTTAAATTCTTGTTAATCTCGACGGGACGCCTTGAACATTAAAACATTAATTTCCGCGAGTAATTTATTATTAACATTAAAAAAAAAATCGGGTCTCGCGTTTAACATACACGCGGTATAGGCGGTATTCTTCGATTTTCCCCAAAATTGGAAATTTGCCGGAGAATAATATCCGACATTACAGACTCTATTCGACATTCGTCCAGCCTTAGGTCTATTATATTCGTCCAAATTCGCGATCGTATCGGAGTCTCTCCTCTCCGGCTTATCACACAACGGCGATGCTCGATCGCCCAAGCGCGAGAGCGCGCGCGGCGGGTACGTATGTAATTGAGTGGATGATTGCATGCAAGCCGTCCGGATATTTCGCGCGATATTTCCAACTCGGTGTTCGCCGAAGAATCTTATTACGATTGCAATTTAGCCGCGCCGGCTGCGATGGCGGAGAGGAAATTTGGCCTCGTTTCATGGAACTTTAAATTTCATTCAGGCACGGTTTGTGCGCCTGAAGTCGATATGACGAATTATTAATCGCGATACTCCACGTTGTGCACGCGCGTCTCGTTTTGCAATCTATAGTAGTATCACATTGTATTTCTTCACGTTTGTTCTTTGAGATGAGGGTTGTGCGAGCCAAACGCTTTGCACAATCAATTTTGCAGGCAAGGCAAAACGCGCATCGCACACATTTGTATTTCATTAGTAACCCGTGCGTTCAAACACGTGGAAAAATTTCTGCGCACTATACAAACATCGATTTGTTTCGGTGCGGTTTCATTTGCATAGTCAAGTTACAGTATGAGATTGTCTCGTCTATTTTTTTTTCTCTCCCATGTCACGGCAATTAATTGCCATTTTTTTCTCGTACGATGGCAATGAATTGCGATACCATTTTAGTCGATCGCAAAATGCTCATATATGACAATTGAATCGATTATTGAGAAAAATGAATATTTTTCTAAGAAGAATTCGGGCTAATTATTTTATCCTTGAATCTCTTCAGATATTATTGGCAAAAATAAAATTAAAAATTGATAATAATACGTAGAAAATAGTTAAAGTTCTAAAATTTCTTCTCATCAAAACATAATTGTGTTTTTTCCGCAATAACTGATTCAATTGGATTTGTGCGAGCATTCCGTTGACGTTGCTCAATGAAGTTATTTCTGCCGGTTTAAACGTAGCACTTGGCGATTTACGCATGTAATCTTCCTATATAAAGTTGCTATTAATAATTTGGTGAAATTTCGTGTTCTCTCATCGGTTTCCAAAACAACCTCGGCAGCAAGTAGGTATCTAAATAACACGTCATTTCCTGTTCTTGTTACAGCGACCTCGAGGCTGGTATGGGATGCATCAAAAGGTACACGATCCAATGCATGAAGGAGGAACAGAGGCAGCGTTTCAACGCGCTCTACGCCGGCACCAACATGGCTATCATGGAGCTTTGCCAAGACGGCCCGTACCAGGATGGTGAGTGCACTTTGCCTAAATCATCGAACCGATTAGAGTATTGCACCTTTAATGCAAAATACAGCTGTAATCGCCAAGAGTCGAGAATCAACAAATTAACCTATATTTTCTGAATCTTGCGATTGGAATTATTTTTATATCACGAGAATTATTTTTACGGAGAAAAGGAGAGGAATACAAAGTTAAAAAAAAGTAAAGCGAAAACAAATGGAAGAATCAATAATTCTGTAGAGAGAAACGGGATATATGTGTATTTCATACATAGAAATATCGCCGTAACAGTTAATCTTATAAAAGATGCAACATTAGTTCTATTATGATTCGAAATTGATTATTGGGAGAAGTTAGTCGAAAAATTCCATTTGTCTATATAGACCGTATCTACCGGTGACGATAATAATGTACAAAGTCGTCCAGCCAGCCAACCGACAAAGCCGACAAGTCCGTTTGCCAATTGGGCAAGCGGCGGGCGGGCACATCAATGCAATTCCAAACTGTCGGTCTCCAGTCGGAGATAGCACTAGAGACTCAATAATGCATCCGGCACTCTCGAGATTACGGGAATATCGCGTGGATTGTCCGCGGGTCGATCGAGCCGGCATGACTCTTCATAATGTACTCTCCTCTTCGCTTGAGAGCAGCGCATCGTAATATAATGAATCGTTAGCAAGGAGAGTAACATTGATTCTCCAATGCTGCGGTACTAGCCACGTGATGCAGAGCTCGTAAACAAGACCGAGAATAAACGCAGTGATCTGCGTCTATACTTTTTATAATTAGAGACAGTGTGTTCATAAACATTAACTTGTCTTTCTAGAAATAGAAAGAAGAAAAGGATAAAGGGGGAGATACCTTGCATCATAATTAATTTTAGCTTAATTATAACTAAAATCTGTGAAACAACATAATATATACTTTTTCAGTATGATTCTTTCTATCAGAATGAATTAATGTCTCAATCAGTACATTGTTTCAAGTTAAAATGATAACATTTGCTGGAATTAGCGGTCATATTTCACGTATTTAGTAATATTAGATATTTCCTCGATGCGGAAAAAGAGAGCCGATTTGATTGAACTTCGTTATCGATTTCCATATTTCGGCGCATATGATGCAATCGTCCAATAGAGGGAATGCAATTTTCTGTTCGCAGAATTCTTGAAGCACGCACCATGCATGCAAAAAGTCAAAGACGAGTACGAGATGTGCTACAAAATGTATCAAAAGACCATACAAGAAATGGAAAGAGCGACCAATCAGACGCGCGAACAACAAACCAAGTCCGTCAAGTCCGTTTGCTGGTAAGTCAAAGAAAAATGTCTTGAAATGTGCATTTCCACAAATAAATATAGATGTTATGCATTGTTTTGAGGGGGGGTGGGGGGTAACTAGAAATTATTTGAGGAACCCAACCTAACGAAAAAGTCGTGCAACTGAAATCGGAGATACGTGTGCGAAGCACAATTATGCAAAATATATGTAAAATTATTTTCTCTCGGAAGAACTGGTTTTATTGTAAATCGTAAAATAGTGTTATCACTACTGTTATGCAATTTATAATACACACCGTGTACGTTTGATCGAAATTTCCATATCTTTACAAATAGAATGTGTTCACAGTCCATCTGCTTATCCGGGGTAATTTTGTTAGCTTGGCAACGCGAAGGTAAACCTCGAAGAACGCAAAGCGTGAGTCAATTTGCCTTAGCCACTTTTCAAAATGTAGACTCCATCTTGACTGTTTTATCTAAAATGCAATTGTCAATTGCTCCGTATGAAAATAAAGTGAAATAAAATAGTAGATATAAATGACAAAGAGACAAATGTATTTACGCGAAATTTCAATAAATAGACTGATTTATTATGCTTACTCGCTTGAAGAGGAGTAAAGTAGGACGTGATGACAAAATTATTTGACTTTTTGACTTTGGTGAAAAGTACTCTCGTTGAGTTCATAAATTATTTTCATCGCGCGATAATAAATTATCAAATAAATCATCGAGAAATTTTGGAATTTATAACAGAGGAGCTTAAAGAAAAAATCAATTTATATATAATAGCATTAATACTTTAATTGAAGAGAAAATTGTATCAAGATACAATGCGCAGAAAAATAAAGCTTTAAGTGTAATATTAAATTCTCAATGCGCCGTATCTCTTTGCGTTTGCGAGTGCAACGGTCTCTCGAGATTTGACCAACCTTTTTCCAGGTCGATGTTAAATCTACCGAGGAAAAACCGAGTTAAGATATGACGGCGGAAGATCTTCAGAGTGAAGTACATGGACAAATAGGTTTAAGTAATACTCGGAATTCTGGCGTTTCGTATTAGACGCAAAGACGTAAAATCCGTCGACTGTGATAATTTAACACTTAAGAGCCCGTCGGCGAAACAACTGCATTAATAACGACCGGGCGTTGCTCAAAGGACTCGCGCAAAAAGAGTGTAATCAGTCCTTTAGGTCGGAAGTTTCACGCTGATGCCTGTACACACATATACAGACGCACAAAGAGAGAGGGACAGAGAGGGGGTGTAATGTCATTAGCGTATCTCCGCCACGGTCTACTGCAGCTTTTGAACTTGCGCATCCCTCGCGAAAGGGAGGAAACCCTAAGTAGTATGATGCTGACCCGAAAGTGGATAACAGATCCATGAAAACATACCGCGCGTCATTTTGTTTCCCCGAACAGATCCAATTGGGACTGTCACCAGAGTGTTCTCCACCAAAGATAGAAAAAGTCTTTATATGCGGAAAGCGGACAAGTTGAAAGAAACGAACGGGCTTTCATATTGCGGAGTTGAAAATTTGAAAATTTCGTAGTCGGAGATGTACAAAGATAATCGAAAAGTGGATATTTGAAAAGATTGCGATAATAAAATTATTTTTGCGTAGCATTCTCTTGTATTTCGGAATTGTTGCACTCGCGAGTCTTTTGCAGGCGCAATCGAATCGATAACCGCGTATTTTATCCGATTTGCGCATTCGAAGAAAGATTCTCAACAGAGTTTGGGGTATTGTTTGTGCAGCGCCTTCAAGGAATACTTGGATTGCTCTCATCATACAGTACGCCGCCGGTGTGGCGATGATACGGCGCAATTCACGAAGGAGTTCCTCGATAGAATGTCAAGCTCGCTGATGAACGTGAGTGTCACATTATGTTATATTACATTTTCCTACGTCCTCCCGAGATCGAAAGCTAATGTTGATGTTGAAATTAATTGCTCCGTTCGTCATTATTTTATTTGTTATCGCAACATCGTGTAATAGCATGTCCAAGAATCTTGTTGATTTTTTAATAAGTATATAATCGAATTTTATATTCCTTGATAAATTTGTAGTCGATTTCTCGATCAGTAAAATTTGGCAAAATTTTAAGTCATCGTGTGTCTCAATTTTCGATTTCTTAACGCTCGATATTTTGACATTCTAATTATGCACGATAGTTCTTTGAGAGAATAAAAAAAAGATTGCAAGTTATATATACATATTGGATTTATTTTCTTCATTATTTGCTATGGATTAACGTTGTTGCGATAATCGAAAGTAAGTTAGATCTTTGCTTTGTTAAAATTGCTTGCAACATTATTATACGAGTCAGAGTAAGACAAAGTAATTTTTGTCAAAGTTACTTGATATCTTTGCTATTTTTCTTTAATGTTTGAAGTAAAGTACACAGAGAGTTGGAAAAAAGAATAATATAGATTCAAAGCAAAAAGAAACGAGTAAAGATAGCGACGATCTTTTAGCAAGTGGTAAAAGTCAATAATGAGGCCGGCCGAGTTGTAAAGGTGAGGTAAGTCACTCGTTTTGTTTGTTGCAGGCGCACTGCACCTACACGCACGAAGAATGCATCGCGTACAGCGGTAGCTCGATGCCAAATCTTTCCGCTATTATGCCAATGACGCTTATTCTCCTTATGAGGTACTTCACATAATTGGCCCCGGTCGAGATCATTTTTATCTTCGACAGAGAGAGAAAAGGAATGCGAAAGAGGGTGAGGGGAGACAGTGAAAAGGAATCAAGGAAGAAGAATGGCGAGACGAGAAGGATGCTGAAGTCATTGGGGCATGGGGGAAAGAGGAGAAAAGCCATTCAGCCCTTATTGTTCTTTGCTTCAGAGAGAATATCTATTCCTTATTTTCGAAGTGCTCGAAAAGAGGCTGAAGAGTGGAGACAGAGAGGGCCGAAGAAGGGAAAAACGTCGGTGAAGAGGGAAGATCCAAGGACGGGAGATGACGAGAAACACACGGGAGATAAGTACGGCATTCTTTTCTTGACAAAGAAAATATATTTTTTATTTGCGTGAGAGATGGTGCGGGAGATCACGTTAATTATGATTACGGAAGCGAGTAACAGCGGGGTATCAGTATTAATAGAAACGCAGAGACGAAGAAGCACCGGCAAAGCACCGAAAGAACGGAAGACGATCGCGGAAGAAGAGTTTAACAACGTTTCTTTTTTATGCACGTCGTAGTAATATTGCACGAGATAAAGTTGATCGCGACGCGATGTGCTGAAGAGTCGTTTCGATCGATCGAACGCCCGCGCGATCTGTCATTCCGTACGCAAGACTGACTCGATTTTTTGCGCGATGCGTCGCCAGATAAGAATGAAATAAAAATACTCGTTATTAACCAGCGAGATACTTCGCGAGCATCGTTTTCCAAGATCGTGTCTACCTGGCGCGTACCTATTCCGAGGATACGCGAGATAGCGGGATTCGACACGTTCGAGAAAACGGCGGCGAAGAGTAGAGATTTATAGCGAAGCGAAAGGAGGCAAACGTGTCTTTCCGGCACGTTTCCGCCTCGATTTCGGGAAAAGAGCTCGCTCGTGCGGAACGAACGAACTATCGTCGCCCTGAAATCAATTTCGTCGAATAATCGCGATCTATCGATTCGCAAGAATACCGTGCGAGAGATCGGCGGGGAAGAGTCTGAGTGGGGCAAAGAATTTTTGCTCAAAGAAGACGGCGAATAGGTAAAATCACAGTACGTTCCTTTGCGCGGGAGAACGGGCGTGTTTCGTTAGAGAATGTGATGTTCTCTCTCGAGAATCCAATCGCTCGCGTCGATTCGACGAAAGTTAAAGAGAGACATTTAAAATTGACGCGCGTTATCATGACTCGTCCAAGTTCTCGTGAAAGTCTTTGAGAGAAAAGGAGAGAAAGAGAGAGAGAGAGAGGAGAGACCGTCGTAACTATTCGAAATAGCAGCGAGCCAATAGGTTCGAGCTAGGTATGTCAAACTAATTTTCCCTCCAAGGATTATACGAGCGCTTTCGTACTACATCGGGGGCCATGTATTTTCAATATTTTCGAAATAAGTGAGATCGGAAAGTTTGAAGAGCGGTTTTTAATTCCGAAGCTTTATGAAAAAAAGAGTTTTTAAAAAATTCTCGTTAGCATGCATATCAAATTAGGAAAAATTTTACTTAATTAAAAATAATTGAGACAACTTTAGAAAATTATGAAAAATATTATTGTCTTTGCTGCAAATTTCACGGAACTAAATAATACGTCTAAATAATGTGCGATGAGTGCTTGCGGAACGCTGTTCGCAGAAACGAAACAAACAAAGTTTGGGGAGATTGCAAGGCCACTTTGCGGGCCACTTGCTGCGCGTTTGACGTGTTTGTTTGGCATGCTTGTTTGTACAAATTCAACATGTCAGACGAGATCCTAGCTAGAACCGAATATGGATGAGTCTATATTTTTCTGGGATCTGACGTAGTTGTATGTGTTATCTATAGAAACACACACAAACACATACGATTGCGATTGTACTCGCTGCACAAAAAAGATAGTATTAGCACTTGCATTGTCGTGTCTTAATTATAAATTACAAAGTAGCGGAAAAAGTATGGTTGTGTGTGTGGTAAGAGACAGAGAGAACGCGTGTGTGCGTGTGTACGTGAAAAATGCGTTATCATATTTTCACATCGAATCGATTTTCATCGTGTGTATCATTAAGGCATTACGCGATCCTCGATATGGCCGGAGTATCGATTTTTCGACATATGTATATTGCGTTATGTATTTAGGCAAATTTAGTTAAACATTTTATTTATTCGAAACACATTGCGAGAGGCATTTATCATTGAAATATCGTAAATGCTGTAGGCTAGGTGCAACGGGCTAAAAAATAACGTTTGTATGGCTTTTAATATCATTACTCGAGAGTAATCATTTTGTAACAAGAAGATAATTCGATCACACTGGAAAATTTTTATGACATGTTCACGATATGTCATAAACAATTAATCGCAACCAATTGTTTGGCTCATGAGTTATTATAAAATCCATATGAGAAAGTCACGGCATTTAATCAAACATGTTCCATTCATGCAATTATCGATGTTTCTCTATTATTCCTGAGCGCCACGCACCATTCGGAATATAATGCAGATTAATAATCTAGAAATTAAATTCCGTTCAACAGGAGGGGGGGAGGGGGAGGTATACGTTTGCGATAACCCCGCTCGTATACGAGTATAATGCTCGATATCGACATCATTTGCAATTTATCATTTTCTCAAATTCGCGCTTTTAACGGCATGTTAAACGTGTCGAGTAAACACAGCGAATTTTCAGTAAAGCGAATAACTTCTTTTAGGCTCTCGAGAATCATGTAATCGCATCTTTTCATTGAGAAGTGACTGTGGTATGTCTGTAAGCGAACGGAAATATTTATTTGTAATATAGTTAATAAAGGAGGCATTTTTTGTAAATATTGTCGAGCTGTCGAGCTTAAGAGAGTGTAAGATAACTTAAACACATTCGCAATAAAGTCCATTATTTTTCTTTAAAAAAAAAAGAGAGAAGCTTTATATTCGTCTCGTTAATCCCAATATCGTCACGACACGCTCCCCGAAGCGCAACGCGTGAGTAATAAACGGCACGCTGTTGTGTACAGCATGCGAATACGCGTGCGTCAGAGGTCTTCTGTCAGAGGCCCGTAAAGTAATAAGTTCCCTTCGACCCTTTACCGGTCCTGGTGATGCGGTGTTCCACCAGGGACGATACATCCAAATAGACACATCAGTATCATAAGCCGTCGAGTTCACGATGCAATAGCGTATATGCATCGATAAATGATGGATTATCGGTGAATGATTACTGTATTCTCGGCTAAATCTTTTTTTATCATCATATCAAATAAATTATTATATTCTAAGTAAAGCAGTATAGTTATTATAATCATTTTTTGTAAAAATTGCAATTTTTAAAAAATAATAATAAAAACTAATTTTCTCTGTATAATTGCAAGTTGCAGCGATTAATTGCGCATTAATTGTACTATTATTTCTTTTTATCGCAAATTGAAATAATTTTTTTCTCAATATTATATTCTTTTAAAAAAATAATCTTTTTATCCGAGTTCATCATCGCAACATTATAATGATGCTTGCAAGGTAAGTGCGACAAAAAAGTTTTTATTTAGCTAGTCGTATAATATTGAATTATTCCTGACCATTTATGCGCACATCTATCTTAGTAGTGATGTTGCTTTTAATAGATTGTATAGTATTTCGAGGTGGAGTTGTAAAATATCGGAGCACCTAAGCACTCGAATGACCATCAAATAAGTTTGCATAGCGAAGATACATTAGTAGTGATTGCGTATTCGCCAAGTTTCAAACTAGTTACGTACATTAGATTATAAGGATTTGCAGGAAGCACATAGAGAAAGAGGGCGAAGGGTTAACAAACTTCTGCCTATAACGGTTACGCAGGTAAGGAAACAACACACATTAATTGTAAGCTTTAGTGTATATAAAATGTATAACTTTATAGAAAAGGGGGCATATATATATATGTTTAGAGCATGAAAAAAAGCTTTAAAACAAAGCCACTTGTGTGTATAGAATGTCATAAAAACGTCGTCAAAGTCAAAAGCCGCACAAATATATTTAAAACTCATGTTTCAAAAAATCACATTTTTCATGGAAAATTCATTTTGCAAAAGCATTACAGAAGTTTTCGTATAATTATAACGCAAGCATATTACCGACAATCGTACATATTTGTTGTTGCAAAATATCAAAATTTTTATTTGAAAATATTTTTTCATCTTTTTACACGTCAATCAATAACGCGTTGTACGACAATCACTGTGATACTAATAATACGCAATATCGAATAGAACAAATACAAACGAGGAGTCGGCGAGACTCGCTGTTGAGAAGCTGCGTCCCCCGCCCTCTTCTCCCTGCATTGCCTGTTGTGCTCATATTTCCGCCTTTTTCCCGTAGGAGCAGTTTTTGCCGGGGAATTATTGGTTTATACGAGCCGGATAAAAATACGCGACAAAGGCAGAAGTCAACTCGTGCGGGCCAAGGTTGGTACGCGTATTCCCGTTCGCTATAACGGCATGCACATATGTACACTTTTACACACGCGCGTGCCATTTAGCTTTTGTTTCCCATCCCCGTGACTTCTCTGGAGTTGTCAGCGCCCAGCGGTATCGATGGGCGAGTTTTGTAGATGGTTAATGGAAATTAATGGTTCGTTCTCCAGTGGGAAAGTGTGGAAAGGGACAGAGAAATCCTGCTACTGCCATGGGAGTCAATCGCAATATGTGGTAGTCTCTCCATATAGATTATTATCTATTATCATTATTGCGTTTAAAAAAAAACATCGCGCGCAATCGCGCACGCGAATTAACGGAATTCGATTCGAGTTCCGTGACGTTAAAAATATATCGCACTTGCTGAAGATAAATTGTGCCATGCGCGCTGATTCGATTACCATTTTTATCTGGCTTTTCCGGGAAGTTTCTGGACGCGACCCGTTGGCGAACAATTTGGAGAAGCCGCGAGAAAATGAAATAAGCAGGAAGCGGATTATTTTGATCGGGCGACTTCGATTGCCGACGGCAGCGAGAGAATAAAAGTCATTTACGTCCGAATGTTCCTGAAATATTGCTAATGCGATTCGAAACCAGAATAACTCTGACTTAACCTGAATAACTGTGCCTTTTACGTATTATTTTAAACGTGAATATTAGAAGATAAATTAAAGGAAGATATTTGTTTCCTTAAATTGAATCAATTTTACAATTTGCAAGAAAGTCTAGAATCTAGAGAAGATCTTTCTATAATTAAACTTGTAAATAAAATTAGATGTAATATAATTATACACAAAATGTGTTTGTTGATATAATTATTAAAAAATTTGAGTTTTATAAAAATCTGATCTATCTCTTTTAAACAGGTCAAGTCATTTCTTAGCAAAATATCGAGTAACAATCCAAGCGCTAACTTTTTGCGTAATTGTAGTTAAATGCTAATAACGAGCTGGATTATAAATATAACTATATTGTGTACAGTAAAACTCACCGTTGTAGAATACAGTTGAAGTATCTGCAAGAACTGGAACAAGCGAAGTAAGACTCGATCTGTAAAAAAAACAATCTAAAATATTTTGAAGAATTTAAACAAATTGTGTAATTAGACTAAAAATTAATTTAACAAAAAAAAATAATGATTATGAATGAAAATTATATACAAAATAATTAACGTAAATCTATTAATTTTTATAATTAATAAAAACAATAATTTTTAGTAAAATCTATTCTCTGTTTAAATACGTTAGGTTTTATTTTCTGGAAATACATCAAATTTATTGCATTAAGTAAATAGATTTTTGTATCATTTAATTTACAGAATAAATCAAAGGTTAATGTTATAATGTAATGATATTAAAATATTATAAATGAGCAAATAATTAAAATCATGGAATATAATATTAAAATTTATTTACCAGCTATCTCGCCATTGGAATCCATTAGTTCTGCTGTTGCAATTCGTTGCTTTGCCATTGCTTCACAAAACACACTTACATAGCACTAATTATCATTTGCAATATCACTGCGATCGGTCAATTCATATACCATTACCAAGTTTTACAAACACGATGCACTTCCGACGCGATATTATGACGGATTTCGAAACAATCTCGATCATTACAAGCGCGAAACAATTTTGTTCATTGAAAATTCGGTCGCGACGCAACTCGAAGAATATCGAACCCGAGTATCATCAAAAGAGTTAATTACCATCACTTGTCTTTATCATTACATTAAACAGTGATGCAATTACACGTACAATACATGTACAATAAATTAACGAATAACGTAAAACACGATGATCGCTCTTAACCTTGTTCACAACAATTCCGATGCTTTAAGAAACTTGGAAGATAAATTCGGCGAATTCGGTAATTCGAAAGATTCCGTGCGCAATAATGCTCAATGATCAGTAATATTTAATACAACGCAATAATCGCTATTAGTTTTTATGATTGTTGAAAGATTGAGAATCACGATTATACGTACTAATTAATACTCCATGATGATTCGACAACATTTTAAAACTGCCAACACTCTCCACAAAAATTCTTAAAAATACGGACAGAGGGCGTAACTTGCATCGATGCTCGATAATTCGATAAGAAATAAAACGATCTAAAAAACATAATCACAATCGTACGCATTAATTAACACTCCACGACAATCGTCCGTCTATGGATTCGACTTTCTTTATATGTATTTATGTCCGAATTAACTTCATACGGACGAAACCGTAAAACGACGCTTTTGTGTCGTCCAACTCTTCCAACGTAATCCCGAAAAGTGATGAACACGTAATGGCTACCATTTAGATCTCTGATCACGTCATGTTCATATGATCACGTGATCACTGCTAAATTTTTACTAAGTATATTGCATTATTAATATATATCATAACAAATTTGCATAATTCTATAACGTAGATACATAATGAAATCGGTCAGTCACGTATCTATTATGTAATAAATTTATACGAGACATATATATCGACATGATGATTAATCGACTTTCATACATATAAGCATTATGCGGTTATGCAAATTATATGAACACACCCTTGCTATAAATAAAAAATTATTTCGTTATATTTCTAGAAATATTTGAGTTAATGACAGAAAACGCGATTTTTACCTGATAAAGTTAAAAATACGAAAAAAGTTTAATTTTAAATCGAGATACATATATCATTGATATAAAACAAGATCTTACAATAATATAATAATTCAAATGTCGATCTTTTTATTCAAATATCGTAAATATATTAGAAAGTAGAAAGATCAAAGTAATATTATGTTTCTTCGTGAAAACCTTAAAAACGTTGCTCGAATCTCGCCCCCGTATTATTGTTTACATCGCGAAAACTTATTTCGTGGAAAATTCGAGGACTAAATTTCGTGGAACTACGCGCCTCGCGAGCGGCGATGTTTTTCCCCCTTCCCTTCGTGTTTCTAACTTCCATAACCTTCACAATCACGCATCTCGTCGCGCAGCGCGGATCGGTAGTCGCGTCGAATTTATTGAGTGTCTTTTTATTTGTTAAAAGTGAATTTCGTATGCAAATGCGTGTCGGAAGTATCGAATTGAGCGACAGTTGATTGTATTATTGGCAGTATGTCTGTAAAATTGTGTGATTAACGTTTTTGAAGCTCATAAACAACGTCGAAATATTCCGCCTCTCGGTATATTACAATTAATCATCGATAGAAGCATCAAGAGATAGCTATAATTCATCGAGACATAATTAATATCGCTTGCTTGAGATATTTATTATATAATATCTGTAAATTAGACGCATGAACGTGACGTTATGAATTTGGTTGTCGGATGATAAATCCGCGTTGAACTCCCCTGCGCTGCGGCCGAATCACTCCGTATTCTCGTATTATTTGTATCCGTTTTAAGTGTACTTCACATATAAATGAGTTTCGCGAGTGTCGAATCTTGTGGTAAGCGATCATCTCGAGGCATTGATACGATCACGTTCTGCACGTTTCTCAGCGTTCCACGCAAATCGCAAGCCATCACTTTGCGTTCCGTGCGGGACAATATTTTCCAATTCACGTCTTTTCTACATCTTTCGCGCTATTCGACAAGCTTCACTTACCATACGCATCACGAGAGACATCAATCGGAGAATCAAGGGATTATCACGTTAAATTCATCCAGGTGGACCACATTAGAAACATTAAGATATTCCCTGCGTAATAACGTAAGACAACATCGCATGAATGCGATTTTACAAAGTATTTCGATTTCACAAAGTTGGTAACAATTAAACAGTTGGCAGACTGGACGGTTATTTTGTGTGCTCGTTCCGATGCCGCGGTCAAATTGCTATTGTTTCGCGTCGTTTTTAATTAGTTATTCCGAATGAATTTTGTATGCGAATAATTATCGAAAGTGTTGAATTTAGCGATGTGAATGGTTGCATCGGAACATCATATGTTTTCGTCATTGTGTTTAGCGCGTTTTCCAGCGAAATCATAGCTCGTCACTTCGCGTTCCACGACATAATTTATTTTTCAATATGAGTCTTTTGCATGTATTTTTTACAATTCACTTGTCAGACAAATGTATCACTAATATTTAAAATCAGAAACAAAAAAATATCGAGAAAACATTGAGGGATGGATTCTTCGAAACAGGTAATGCCGCTTATATGAAACTTCCAGATTTTGCCGCGTAATAGCGTGAAATGAGGCGTATGAATGCAATGTTACAAAGTTGGTAATAATTAACAATTCAACAGTTGGTAGACAGATTGGTCTTTTTGTGTTGATCGTCCCGCGGTTGAGTCGCCATTGCTTTGCGTCTTTTTTAGTTAGTTATTTCAAGTGAATTTTGTATGCGGATAATTATCGAGTGTTGAATTTAGCGATGAACGATCGCCTCGGAACATCAGTATGTTTTGTGATTGCGTTCAGCGCGTTTCTCGGCATTCGAAATCATAACTTGTCGCTTTGCATTCTGTGGCGCGATTCTATTTTTCAATACGAGTCTTTTGCACGTATTTCGTGCAGTTTAGTTTCTCGGATGAGTGTCGCGAATATTTAGTTCATCAGAAACCAAAAGATATTGATGGATTCATTGTGGGATTGCCAAAATAAATTCTTCGAAGCAGGTGACGCCACTTATTTGAGATATCGAGATATTTCCATGTGAGATTAGACATGAAAGCAAAGTTAACCGTGTTCGCAAAGTTTGTTCCCTCGGTCAGAGCAGTATTATGTATTTATTCGAAAACGTTTTTGACCGAAATAATTCCGTTTTTTTGGTTAATTAATTATTCTATTAAAGACATTCAGCAATGAAATTTTGAAACGATTGGAATGATTTCAACATCTCGTAAATAAATGGAAAATCGATTTTAATTAAATATATAATGATATTTATATCAAAGTAGAAACTTTAAGGTTTTTTTATATTAATAATTTGTGAAAAACGACTAAAAAAAATTTTACATTATAATATTTAGACTTTAAATAAATTGTTACTATGGTAAATATCACATATTTGTTTTATTATGATGTTATCTATTGTCTTGATTTTTTTAATTGTAAATAAATTCTGATTCTATTTTGCTTTCAATATTAACAATAACTGAAAGACACGGACAGAATCGCGATTTAAAATTCAAGTTTCCGATCTGAATTGTAAAAAATTACATAATATCTGCTCAGTTCACATTGAGAGTTACCCGATAGTCGATTCGTGATTGCTTTACATTCTCGCGTGTTTTTACTCGTATCGGGTAAATTTCGCATGCGAGCGAGTGTCAGAAGTGTCAAATTGAGCAACGAACGATCACTTCGATGCATCTATTAATCCGCGCGATCACGTGTTTTTCAATATCGAAATAACATTACACTATTACGCGCCAGGATATTACATGGCAGATTTCGAAAACTTCAGATTGTACGTAAATTATTAAATTAGAGAATTGATACAATCTCAAGTTTGCGTAACGCAAGCGAATTAGTAAATTTCTATTATTATGGCATCTGGATTTCCGGGAAGCGCTCGCAGAGTCAGCTCACAGGCAGCTTACAGCGAAAAATATTTAACAGGGTGTTCGACCGCTTTATCCTTCAGTGCTTTCTTAATCGTCGTCAGTTGTACAACGTACGTCCAAGATCGAATTGTGTGCGCTCTGTGTTTCTCGCATTTTTTTTTACTTGTCGAAAGTGAATTTGATGTGCAAATATCGGGAATGTCGAATCAAATGATGCATGATCATCTCAGTTTATTAATTCGTACGATCGCAATTAACGCGTTTTCCAATATTTGTAATAATGCGTCACGATTTCGGAAATTCCAATTTTATGGAACGCGAGTGAACTGATGGATTAGTGAAACGGCAAGGTTTTACGAAAAACGAGTGAATTGACGAATTAGTGAAGTGCAGATATCATAGTGCGTGGATGCATATAGTGATCAAGAGAATACCATATTCCGGACGAGGATTGCCTGGAGCGAAGGAACAACTAAGAATAAAAAGGAATGCAGTGACCCCTCCCCCCCCCCCTAAACCAGGAAAAAGTAACAAGTACGATAGCATCGATCGGTGAGTACACAAGCTCATTTATTACACATGTCTGATTGTTAATTTATTGAAACAAATAGAAATTAATTATATTGATATTTCTAATATTAATTGAAAAAAATATGTTTATTTTCCGATTAATTATTCATGGCTTAATCATACTCGATAATTATTTTTGCTTGTATTATTTCTGTCATTTGTTAATTATTCAGTAATTTTATCTGAATAATTATCAGTTGGATTACACTCTGTCCAACTATGATTATGATATGACACAATAGTAATTGCGTTAAAAATGCTACGGCATCTTAATGGAAGATATGTCTTTCATCGATCACGATCCTTCGGTTATCGATCATTCGAGTATCGAGAGATAAGAATTTAATTTGAGCTTATTACCGATAAAAGTAAACCATATCTTTTATTGATTTAAAAGTTAATCCGTATTAACAACGTATACGTATACGGTTCTATTGTAAATCATTTAGAAATAGCAGAGTGGAACAATCGGCGACGTCCAAAAATAAATGATTCTCACAAATCAATCGACTGCGTAATAGGAGGGATATCACTCTTTAAACGGTTATATTATTCATTTTAGTTCAGGTCTGTCTGTCTTCCAATTTCGACGTTTATACACAATGGGAAGAGAGAGAGAGAAAGAGTGAGAGAGGGATCGGTGAAGGCAGAGGGAAAGGGAGAAAAATAACGATTCGAATGACCTATTTAGGTGTTTATGATCGTACCTATCGCATTTCCGATCCGCCCCGGAGTAATGGCCGAAAAACCGTTCGCGTGTCCGCGTAAACTATAAATAATCGTCGACGTCGATCTCGGGCGATGATTTATGGTTAATTCGTGCTGCATTTTCCCTAGCGCGTGAATATGTGCACGCGGCGTACGCCACGCATACAAGCGCGCGATGCGTAGGCACCGCAGATCCGAGGATTTTTTTTACAGTGATTGTAACTGCCAGTCATACCTGATCGAATACATTTTGCGGAGATTTATCGCCCGCGAGTTTTCACGCTATTTTCGTGATTGTGCGCGTCTGTATCTGGTGTACAATAAAATCCTCCGAAGAACAATCGAAACGGATTCAACGTCCATCTATATTATTTATCGGAAATTTCGTTTAACTGGATTGCAAAAAGCGTCGTATTGTCCCGATAAATTTCAGATTACGTGCGAATTACAATTTACTTTTATCCGCGCGGGATATTGTTTTTCAGCGCAAGATGACACGTGAAAACAGAGAGCCACGAGCGAGAATTGAATATTAAATCACAGTAATTTCATAATCGTAATACCAATCGACTCTAATTGATATTGAATGAATATTGGTGCTCGTAAATAATCTAACAATTTTGTGGTGGTTTAAAATTAAGAGTTTAAAATTTAACGAAATAAATGTAATGAATTGCAAACTTTCGTATTTCAAAATTTACCGAATAGCATCTCATTAGTAATTAATAACATTTTGCGATTACACTTCTCCTGAAATTACTTTTGTGCTGCGTGCACCGTATTGTTGACCGGAGCTTTTTAATTAGTTTATGACAATGTACTTACGCGATAGCGACGGCAGCGGCTCGAGTTGGTGGATTTAATTAAAACGAAACACTCGCGGCGATTTCTGTAAGCGACTGTCGATTGATACGCAGTCGGACTTGCGAACGTGCCTTTCAAGAGAGGCGGAAAAAAAACGAGTTGTTCAACTGTCACCAGCAGTCTCTTTTCGTTCTCCTTTTCCTTTGATTCCCGTACCCCTCAATCTCGATTTAGACTCCTAATTACGATGAGACTTGATCAACTAATACCGCGCGATCAATGACGAATTATGATTTGTGAATTATAAAGGCATATTCGCATAAACGATCGGTAATCGGGGAGATATGACAGTCGAGAAACGCAAAGAGAGAGACTCGTTAATTTAAAACGATATTTTTTGAGAGAAACACCCGTTAACAGTTTTCGCGACGGATAAAAGTAGAGAACACTTTCAAGCGTCTTCTTGCCCTTTGTGCGTTCAACTTTTCTCTATCGATTTTCGAAGAGGAAAAAGTTGGTTGTTATACCTGAATAAAAATGCAGACGTTTAAAAGCAAGTTACGGGCAAGCTTGCCTCGTAGAACAGGTTTAGCAAAAGAGAAAACGAACAGTTTGCCTTCTTGAATTTTCCTTTTCTCCTTGTATACCCTTGTGGTATCAAGAAAACTTATGCCGTTTGTATTTCAAAAACATAGGATCATTAGTATTTATTCTTGAAATTCTTTTATCATCTTTTGCATTAAAAATGTCAAAATTAAAAGAGGAGTGGCAATAAGGATGAAATTGGCATGCGAAATTATCAAAACATAAATGTATATTTATCTTAAATATTAACATTTTTATAAAGTTCCTTATTTTGTTCAATTTTAAAATAATCTTTCTATATTTTTTCAATTTATAAACAAAACAATGCACAATTTTAAAATGCACAATTTTCCCCTTTTAATAAATATTTTGTTATAATACAAATGACTAAATAGCACAAAGCTATTAACGTGTGATATTACACTCTTTATTTCAATTTTTATTAATTTTAGTTATTTTGTTGTAAAAACATTATTTTTTATAATTTTTTGATGTCGATAAAAATTAAATATTATGTATATATTATTTTGTGTTTTTGTTCCAATATTTTGCCATCACATTTATTACTGGATAACGTTACAATGGGCCTTTATCGCTTTTTTTTTTAGAATAATCTGCATCAAAATGGATGAATGTAGAACTTCGTCTATTTTAAAACGGCAAAATAAAATGAAACAGTTGTCCTAAAGTAAGGCCCGTAGTGACTAATGACCCCGTTTACCAACTGCGTTAGCGCGATTGTTTCCCGCTGTTCAATTGTTCTCGTTGTACACGCAGAAAGCCAGCGGAGCTAATTATGCGATATCGCGAGTATAATCATTTACGTCGTGCGTACCGTTCGCGTCCGCTCGTCTTTCGCCGGGTTTCACAAGTTTCCGCTGCGAGGATCCGCTTGTACGGGCGCGTATAATAACTTGTATCCTAATTTTGATTCACGAGCTGCCTGTGCTGCACTTACAAGAAACCGCCTGACGTGCAAAAATCTCAAAGGCTGCCAACTCACACTCACTTCTTAATGAGGGAAAATATCACGGGGTGTTAGTTCCGGGATGCAAAAGTGCATAATCAGAAGGAAAAATTCTATCAGAAGAGAAAACGACTGTGTTTACAGAGAACGTTTCTGTAATAATAGTTTGGCGCTAAGGCGACAGACGCAGTCTTGATCAACTTGAATTACTTATAAATAAAATTATTGAGATTGTTGTTATAAGTAAACTATAGAAGATCGTAAAAGCTTCTCGCGAATTAAGTTGTTCAAGAGGCCAGATAAATGACAAAAACTTAAATCGATTTAATGTCGGATGGACTTTTAACAGAATTTTAAGCTGCAGCTTAGTCGGCGGAGTAATGGAAGTGGGAAATTAAAAAGTTGCGAAGAAAGATAAGATAACGTTTGATGAGATTCTCGTTGAGAAACAATTTGACCGAGAAAACGCTCGCGAAATTTTCGCTCCCGCTATTTTAGGAACAGCCTGTATATGCGTAATACGAATCGATTATGCTTTCGTCTATTAACGCCGCGATTATTAATTAATGTGTCTATTAAATTTGGATAAAGCTCGTTATGTCAATTCGATCTCGTCGAACTTGGCTAGCAAAGCTGAGCAAGCGGAGCGATATACGGCGAATCGATGATAAAATAAAAAGAGAAAAAAAAAGACGTATTTGAGAGATGAAACAGATAACCGACAAGTAAGATCGCAAAAAGAAGAAAAGAGGGAGATAGACAAAGAGCGAGAACGACGAGCAGAAGTCCTTGCAACATTTATTATTCATGATCTTTCTGGCTCGTCGATCAGTGAATGTAAAAGCGAATTCCGGGAATATTATATCGGATATCGGCTGTGCACCGGATTATCGAATATTGGTAGAATGTCCTCGGTTTTCTTTCGTGTTTGCAAAGTGGACGTATAAAGCGTGTAATATATCGTCGCACAAACAAAGATTCGCCCAGTCGATTCGATGCTTTTCAATCGCGTTTCGCCGTTTATCCAAAGCGTGTAGTTGTGAGTCGCGATACGGAATTATGACATTTGCCGTGTGGAAAAACGATATTACTTATTGTGCAGCGAAAGCACGAAAGCGATGCGATCGGCATTCTGAACGGCATTCATAACGGGATCGTAAAAGAGATCGTATTATTGTTTTATTCGACAATTGACATAAACTCTGGATAAAGTATTTAAAAGAACATTTCGCGCTGTGCTATTGTAACGCAATATTTTTACGGTGGCAGAAAAATTTAAGATTCTATTGTACAGGATATTATAAAACTCCCAAGTGTTCTTTTAATAACAGATTTATTAATCAATTTGAAGTAGATAATAAAGTAGATTATAAAGTAATAAAAAGTGTCAAGAAAAGTAAGTCATTCGTTTCACAGTTATTCAATGTTCATCATGTATCTTCTCAAGTGCACTACCAAATTGAAATTTGATTAAAGTACAATTTACTTAAAAATATATTGAAAAACGTTATTTACTTTGTCATTTTAATTTGTGAAAAGTTTTTTTTTCATTTGTTTATTATCTGAAAATTGTTAATATTTATAAAACCAAATTGATACCAAATTACTCAGAGAATTTGCTACTAAAAGAATGCAACGAGTTTATGTAAGTTTTAAAACACACATTTATATTGTACCGAAATAATCACGTACTATATCTCTCGAAACTTACGTCTGACTATTACTGATTTATATTACTTTCGCCCAGCGGCTTACAAACTACTTCGTTTAATACTACAATAAAGTATATAGATAGAAGTACTTATGTGCTGCCCCCAATACAGCAATAAATTCTTAACGCTGAATCCTTGGATCTAGTGCACGATTGATGAACACAGTTGAAATGAACACGCAAGACCGACTTTCCATAATGCGCGGA